ACACACACACACACACATATATATATATATATATATATATATGAATTATTCACACAAAACTAATGCAAAGGTTAATGATTTTAAATGGCGAGACATCCATCTCATAAACAATTCAAATATTACACAAAAACCTTAGATCCGTTATGAATGAATTGATCCTTGTTCATATAAATTTCTGCCGTATTAGTTGTTATTTTTACAAGCTTTCGTCTGTTCATACAGACATCTTCAGGTATATAATAGATGTTGTTCTTGTTTTTCTCTTAGTAATAAGAGGACATCGAAAATATATGTATTGTATCCGAAATGCTATTGAAAAATGAGATATTGGTTTTGAACGCGCCAAAGCAACGCTGAGTTTGATTTTGAATTTCTTTTTTTAAATGTTTGCGTTTGTACCAAATATGGTAATGAACAAATTATTTTACTGGTTTGCATTAGTTTTGTGTGAATAATTCATGTATTTGTAAATTGATTGCACGTTTATTGTAATATATATATATATATATATATATATATATATATGTGTGTGTGTGTGTGTGTGTGTGTGTGTATACAGGCAGCATATCATCATTCAAACATTTTCAAAATTGAATAACATAAATATATTATGTCTATTTTTTATACGCTTACTCTCCAGTTCTTTAATAAGTTTTTTGATGTCAAAATGTAATTAAAAAAGGAAGGCACCGTAGTTATTATCCTACCCGAGTACTTTCGATCTCCGTCAAAATCATCCTCAGGGGTGAATTACAAAGACAAACTTATTGTAACTGCGATAAAGTCTGTATTTCGTTGTGATGCTGATTTTTAAACACACGGGTGGAGGCGTTCAGTTATAATTATGTAATTTTTTTTTTTAAATTAACCCTTTTAGCTATGGAATACTTTACAAAGCATGCATCCCGATATAAGGGAGCTGACCGGAAATGGGTAGAAATTCAAAATGGCATTAAATGTTTTTTATATGCATTTCAACACGTTGCTTCTACGTTTGTAATAAATTTTGTTGAGTGTTGGTCGGTTTTTTGATATGGAGGGACTCAAGAATTTGAAGTTTATATTTATTATTTTCGTGATGTATTATAATGGTGTTGGTTAAAATTATAAATATACATAATATGTGCATATATTATTCAATGAAATACACCCTTACGCATATATATATATATATATATATATATATATATATATATATATATATATATATATCAATTGGTAAATAATCCAAGTGAATCATAATAATATAAAATATTAAAAGATCTCAATCTGTTTATTATAACAGAGCGTATAAATTACATAGAATAAATATTCAAATTTACCTCATTAGAATAGCTATTTCGACCCACTGGTCTTTCTTCTACGTCTTGTCTTCTTATAAGAAATAAGTGCTTATAAGAAATATGTGCTTAAAAATTTAAACATTTAAAGAAGAAGAAGTAGAAGAGAAGAGAGAAAGACAGAAAACACAAAAACGAGAAAAAGGGGGAAAAGAAAAAAGAAAGGTAGACACTACCACTTCTATTATCATAATATTGGGAGATTATTTAATTTCTCATCTGCTAATTCCTTTTTACTCTTTTGCCTTTCTTTTTCATTCTTCCCAATGTTTGTTCTTTCTCTCTTCTTGAACTTCTTCTTCGTCCTCTTTTATTTATTAAATTGTTTTATTTTTAAGCTCTTATTTCTTCATATTCCTGAGTTGAGAAGGCCTGCAAGGAAGTCTTGTGAGTCGAAATAGCTATCCGAATGAGGTAACTCTGGCTTTTTTCTGTTCAGTATATATATATATATATATATATATATATATATTTGACAGCAAAATCCAACAATTACCTGAACATTGGAATAGACTATTTCAACGAATCAATTACCTGTACTATATATATATATATATATATAATATTTTTTGTTTAAAAATATGATTCCTTCGCTACATAAGACTTCTCATGTTTCAAAATAAAAATATAGAAATATAAATATAAAAATATCCCTCACTGGTAACCAACTAAAGGATGACCGCCAACATTAGCCTTGAAATAGATACCCTACCCAACCTTAGCAAAACCTCTCAGAAGATGATGAATCTATAGATAAGAATTAACTCTCTGACCATTTAACGAAGGAAACTAACATAGTCACCCCCACAAAAAAACGAATGTTATGACGGACCATGCCTAAAAACACACGTAAAGCAAAATATAGCTTATTCCTAAAATTTCGCTTGAAGATGAAACGAGACTAAACACCTCAATTCAACTTAATTTTAATAATTATATGGATGATTTCGGTTCTCGTTTTTGAAACATGAGAACTCTTATGTAGCGAAGGAATCATATTTTTAAACAAAAAATATTATTATAATAAAGCTCTACTTCTGTATGGAGCACTGTCTTCTTAAAAATAAAAATACAAATACTAAGGAACTCCGGATTATGCACCCAACGTGATCTTTTTCTATTTTCTGCATACCTGCGCACTTATATATATATATATATATATATATATATATATATATATATATATATATATATGTATTATAAATTAATTGATTTAAAATGTTTTTTCGCTACACAGTTCTAACCATGTTTCAAAAATGGAAGCTAAAAGCCCCGAATTTAAATAAATTGTCGGACTTTGTCCATTTCTTAATATATGACGTCATTTGTTTACATTTGATACGCCACGAGCAGTTATGAATGTACGAGATTCATGGAAGATTGAAGTTTATAAGCAGTAAATTCAACCTTGCCAACCGAACGATCCTTTGTGGCCGAAAGGTTAGGCACGTCAGCGTAAGTGACAGTTCCGTATAGGATGCAGGTTCGAATCCTGTCAAAGGACACATATTTTCTATGAAAATTTCTCGTACATTCAGGCCGGTAAATGATATTTAATACTGTTTATTATAAACAGAGCATTACTTAAATACTTGTATCTATAAAAAGAACGTTAAACATAAAAATGTCTTTAATAAATAAATTGTCGGACTTTGTCCATTTTTTATATATATATATATATATATATATATATATGAAGTAACTTAAACAGATATAACTTGAAAAAGTCATGTCTATCCACCAGGTTATCCACTCGGTAAGAATCATGTCTGGCATAAGAACCACGGTACCTAATCAAATCCACTCCTAAGATTGTCCAACTGATCAGATTTTCTAACCGATCCGCTTATGGCAATCGTCCGCTTATAAGATTTTTGAAAAAGACAAAACAAATTCCAACCAACGACTATTTTAAACTACCCACTTATTCCAACACCGGCTTTTAATGAAGACCCAAGAGTAATGCTTTCAGTTTAAGATATGAACAGCCAATCAGGAGCGAGTGGCAGTGTCTTTTTTTTTTAATGTCGCCGAATACCAGTCATCTTGTACTTGCCAATTACTGATGTATTCACATCTGCGGGCGCCAACAAAGAGTTTTTTTCTTATTAATAGTTTTTGTGTGGAAAAAAAATTCAGTTGAAGCTATATAAATCAACTCGCAAAAAGTCTTGTATTTCCTAAGTTTGCGATTATAAATTTGACGATTCAAGTTAGATTTCGTTATTGGCCACTAGCAGTCAACGTATTAATCTGCTAAAAGAAGATAGGAATGAATAATTTTAAAGTAATTGACAACATTACAGCTAGCAAAATATGCTAACATATACTAGCAAGTATCAGACAGAATTATGGCCATATGTAGTTGAATTACATGTTCCCGTACGATATTTAGAGAATTAATTTGAAAGAGTTTCAATTGGATATTTCTTTCTTTTGCAATAAAACTTAACTTGTTAACATGATTGTTATAGCAAGTGAGTTATTCATAATGTTTAAAATGAGTTGACATAAGAAATATTCCGTTGTATATATTTTTTCCGACATATTTTTATTTGCTTTACTTTAATGTAAATCAAAACGAGGCAGTCGTTTTGTGTTTATAATTAAAAAAAAAAAAAGAAGCATCACCGACACTTTCGAAATGTAAAAACCAAAAATGAACTTAATTCGAAAGGATAGGCTTGTAAATAATCAATATTTGATCGCTGAACCACGTAAAGTACTTAGGATTTTCATACTGGTGAATAAATCATTTTAATATAATATTTTTATAGACAAATATGCTGTTCCAAATTTACTTTATTTGCGCTAATAGTTATGTATTTTACAAAAATAAATGAAAAGAGACTAGTAGAGTGATAAAACAAAAGACTTTATACTTTCCCTTTTAGAGAAACGGTTTCGTTTTTGCAAGTGTTTCTCCACGGGGACAATCTTAGGCCAAGGTCAAGATGATGGATTATCAGTTTTTAATCGATTCATAGTCGGTTAAGGATTTGTCCTTGACCGTTTTTTTCTTCTTTTTTTTTTGTGGGGTTTGGGAAAGACGTTTTTTGTCTTCACCTTCACTAGCAAGATGGTTTTGTTAAAAAGCTGTGCTACACCGGGCGAGAAAGGAACGGGGAAGATCAGTTGATGAATTTGGATTGTTATCTATTGTATTGGAAAATCCTATTCACTATCTGACGTTCATTCTTAAGGCTGGCTTGTTCCCGAGAGTGTGAATGCGGACAGATATTGTCGAAAAAGACGGAAGAATGCTATGACATTGGGCGGTGACGGCGGGGAATTTAGACTTTTTATCGACAGCAAGTAATTTATCTACTCACGAGGGATTTCAGTCAAACAGACTCAGAGAAAAAAAGAGATAGGGAGTAATACCATATATATATATATATATATATATATATATATATGTTTGTATGTGGGGGTTAAGGTATGTGCGGTGTGTGTTTACACTGGAATTAACATTGTCAAAAGCAAACGATGATTAGATAGCAATAGTGTGAGACAAAGAATGGTTCTACTCTTAGGTATCAGATGATTGCAAATGTTGCCAGCGAGGGATTTTTGTAATCTAGGAACTGATTACAGAATTGAAGACTGTTTTTTCTTCAATATGAAAGAGTCGAACACATTTGCACAAGCCTGATATTAATGCTGAATGTGTCTTTGTCTATAACACTTCACATTATCTATCTATCTATCTATCTATCTATCTATCTATCTATCTATCTATCTATCTATCTTAGTTTATTCCTCATCTATCTACATCAGTCTGTTCCTATCTATCTATCTATCTATCTTAGTTTATTCCTCATCTATCTACATCAGTCTGTTCCTATCTATCTATCTATCTATCTATCTATCTATCTATCTATCTATCTATGTTACTATTAATTCTTTATTGCTTTATTTGGTGTAAAAGTATTTATCTATCTATCTATATATCTATCTATCTATCTATCTATCTATCTATCTATCTATCACAGTTTTCTGATGTATCTATCAGCATTTCTTTTTCATTATCCATTTCATCATATCTATCTATCTCTCTTAGCTTATTCCTCATCTATCTATATCAGTCTGTTCCTATCTATCTATCTATCTATTCAATCTGTTCTTTATCTATCTATATCTATCTATCTATCTATCTATCTATCTATCTATCTATCTATGTTGCTATTAATTCTTTACTGCTTTATTTGGTGTAAAAGTATCTATCTATCTATCTATCTATCTATCTATCTATCTATCTATCTATCTATCTATCTATCTATTTCAGTCTGGTCCTATCTATCTATCTATCTATCTATCTATTCAATCTGTTATTTATCTATCTATCTATCGATCGATCTATCTACATCACTCTGTTCTTATCTATCTATCTATCTATCTATCTATCTATCTATCTATCTATCTATCTCTTCCACTGTCCCTGCCTAGTGCAATCTCTATTGCCGAGGGTTTCATTCCTATCCTTTTATTTGAAGAAGTGGGAAATTCAACATGCTTCGCTGTTATATTTCCTCCTCATCCCAGAAACTGAAACACACATGTGCCACCTAGAATACAGTCCCTCATCTGAAATCAATATTTCAAGATTTTCAATCTTCGAATCTAGAAATCACAAGACATGAACAAAATATCCAGTAGTGAAAGAGTCTCACCTGGCAAGTAGGAGTGCAAGAAATTCATTTCGTAATGTAATTTAAGACCGTTTCCCCGCGCTCCGCCAAAACAAAAAAACAAAAAAAAAATCATGTGCTCTTCGAGACTTTTGAAATTATATCTGAAGGGAATCATGAAAAGTTGTTTGGGGTTAAATACAAACTTTGGGCCCGGAAGGTATCCACTAAAACTTTCAGATTTTAAAACTTTTCTTTAATAGATTTTGAGATAAGGCGTTTTTTGTCTGTATAAACATTAAACTAATTCCACAATAACGCAATTTGAAAGCAAAAATCACAACACCTAGGGTTTTAAATAATATAGCACCCGTCAATTATCTAAATTTAAATTTATATAAAAAAAAATAACGCTAATATTAGCCGTTTCCTTTGAAGATCTCAACAGCTGAGCCAGCGGATGAAGAGGGCTACGCATTACGGATACGCTACAGAAGGCGTCACTCGAAATTATAACAGAGTCAGCGGCTGTCTATTCCAGTTTCGTAGTTGGATTTTGTATGACTCATTCCATATGTGTCGTGGAGGACGGTCATTTAATCAAATCTGTGGATCACTTCCTGGCAAGTTGATGTCCACCTTAAACAAATTCACGTCTTCGGCACTTTTTTCAAATCAGTAGGTTTTGTTGAAAATGGGAGCTTCTAGTCCTGACCCTGTACGTTGTCGGTGAATGAAGCGATCAGCATTGAAGAAACTAAATTCTTGGATACGAAATATAGCCGACGACAATGATATAAAGAAAAATCTTTTATTAATCTAGAAGCTAATACCACTATCAGCTGAATTATATAAAATACTTCTCTTAAAACAATTTTTCAGGAAAACAGAATTTTTAAGTCCAGTAGCTGTTATCGCTCTTTCCTTTACAGATTTTTAATTCCTATCCTTTTATTTGAAGAAGTGTGAATTTCGACATGTCGACTATGTCATTATTTATTCCTCGATTAACATATGCTAGCCGATTTGGTTGTTGCTAGGAGACTTAAATATATTTATTTTGCTTACGTCAAAATCAGAATAATGGCAGTCAGATCGAAGTTTTCTCCGTTTACATCGAATAGGGATAATCTATGTTTGTTTCAATTTACGGTCATTTCAGATAACGTGGATTATCGTTTTCCCTCTGCCATTGCTTATTGGATTAACGGGGCGTCGAAATTCTGAATGCGAATGGCACATTTTAACTTGGCCCTCATTGTTACCAAAATTGATCGAATAAGAAATGGGCGGGAAAATAATTCGATTTTCTTTCACGTATTTTATAACGTATTCTTTTTCATTTCTCCCTCTCTCTCTTTCTCTTCAAACACATATTCTATTTTTTCGCATTCAGATGTTCTTTCTTTCTTTCTTTCTCTCTTTCTTTCTTTTATCTTTCTCTATTTCTTTCTTTCTTTTTCTTTCTTTCTTTCTGTCTTTCTTTTTGCCTATCTGACACTCTTTCTCTCTCTCTTTTTTTCTTTCATTATGTCTCCTTTTCTTTCTTATTGTCTTTTTCGCGTTTCTTTCTTTTTTCTGTCTTTTTTTCTTTCTTTCTCTCTTTCGTTCTCACTTTCTCTATTCCTCTCTTTCTTTCTGTTTTTCTCTTTCTTTCTCGCTCTTTTCTTTCTTTCTTTCTTTCTTTCTTTCTTTCTTTCTCTTTCTTTTTTTCTTTCTTTTTTCTTTCTTACTTTCTTTCTGTCACACTTTCTGACTTTATTTATGTCTCTCACTTTTCTCTCATTATATGTCCTTTTCTTTCCTTCTTTCTTTTCTTTCTTTTTTCTTTTTCGTCTTTCTTTCTTTCTTTCTTTCTTTCTTTCTTTTTCCCTCTTTCTTACTTCCTCTTTTTCCTTCTTTTTCTTACTTTCTTTCTTCCTTTATATCTTTCTTTAATTCTTTACTTATTTATTTTTCTTTTTTTCTCTCTCTCCGTCACTATTTCTTTCTATCTTTCTGTCTTTCTGACTCTCTCTTTTTTCTTCCATTACGTCTCCCTTTCGTTCTTTTTTCTCTCTTTATTTCTTTTTTATCTTTCTTTCTATTTTCTTTCATTTTTTTTTTTTTGTTGTTGTAAAAGCCGAGCTATTTCGAAATCATTCGGCTTTTCGTAAATCAGTCCAAATCCAGGAATCTTTCCACAGCTTTATAACCAAATTCTACTCCCTATTTATTATTCCTGGTTATCACCCAATAACTTCAGTAGGGCCACCGGAACATCGAAAAACCGCGTTAAACTAAAATCAGTCATGGCTGATCATGTATGAATGAATAAGGGGAGCTATCAAACTCTTCGTAATAAAGTAAAACACTCGAGCTGTACTAAAAAGAATTCTAAATATCGTTCAACAGTGATATCGTAATGTGGGAAATCCACCCTTTTAAAAAAAAAAAATCCTTAATGGTTATCCGGACAGACAGACTGTTGAACAAGTTTGGAAGGCACAGCATCGGAAATCGAGTGATAATAACATCAAAGATGAGGATATTAATCTCTCCAGCCTGCATGATGGGGAAACATTTGTAATATTCTTCCTTTAGAAAGTTTGAAAGGCTTTCTTGTTGGGATTTAATTTCTCAACAGATTTTCGTTGTCCACTTTTTAAAAGCGAATTGTATCATATTTGATAGTATGACTGACACGGTTTCTCGTCTTTACAAGTTAAGCTTGAATGTTCTCGATTTTTATGAACCTGTATGTATGTGGAGCCAGTGTTCCAACTTCCGTAACTGTCAGGGAATGCAAGGAAACCATACCCTCGATTGATCTAAGCCTTGGGAGTTTAATTATGTAGACTGTTGTCGTTTGGCTAAGAACGAAGTCACAAGTCATCGGGATCTAGCGTTGTAGAGTACATGCATTGTTCAAACTTTTGATGACATCAGACTTTACTCTCTTTCTCTCCGAGTAAAATCATCTAAAGTCCTCTCAGAATAGTTGCAGTATAAACCATACTGGGTCTCTGTAAGTGTTGAACAATCGTAAAATAAGCCTAAGAAAGCGTGATGATGGCCAGCAACTTTATATATATATATATATATATATATATATATATATATATATATATATATATATGTGTGTGTGTGTGTGTGTGTGTGTGTGTGTGTGTGTGTGTGTTTAAGTAAAGATGTGTTTTGTAATCCGTATAGATAATTCCAGGGAAGATATAATCCAGGGAGCTCAATGTTGAAACAGAGCAAATATTAATTATAGTAATAAATAGACAAATTTATTTCCTTAGAATCGGAATTCGATTCTAATTCCTCAGATCAACATTTTCATGCAAATAAATGGGTTGGAATTGAATTCTTGTCATATCTGGAATATTGGTCACCCATTTATTTGTATGAAATGTTGATTTGAGGGATTAGAATCGAATTCCGATTCTAAGGAAATAAATTATAATCATCATGAACCCTTAAAGTTGTCTGTTTCTTAATTTGATCTATAAATTTAATTAATATATATATATATATATATATATATATATATATATATACGGATCTTCAGGGTAGCCAGTTTACCCTGAAAATCCGTTTAGGTGAAACCTAGGTAGGTTTACCTGGCTCTTTAGGATTTATTTTAGTTTTTCCCGCTATACTTATCGTATTGTGCCCTCTACGTTTTAGTCTTACTACTCGATTGGTTTATTTTTTCTTTGGACTAAAAACTTAAGGCATTGGACGATTTATTTCGCGCTGTTTGTATGTTTTTAGTTCTTTCATTTTTATATTGCCAATGTAGCGATTTGTTTTGACATATCTACAAGTTGAGCTATCTGAGGCTTTTTACCGAATGAATATTACTATTACTATATATATATATATATATATATATATATATATATATATATATATATATATATATATATAAACAGGTAAGATGAGAATGAATAGGGTACAATTCCCATTCATAACATTAAAATTAAAAGATGATTCAATGTAAAGTTGGGAAATATATTCATTTTAGGATATTAAACCGAAAACATGCCAAGATAATTACACAGTTGTCCCTGTGTTTTGATGCGTATCAATGTATCTCATCAAGCAATTGTAAATTACTGGCGAGTGAACGATTTCTTTAGGTTTAAAAGCAAAACACAACCTATTTTTACGAAAAAAAGTGGGTTTTTTATAAGGCCTGTGGACTTTACTCCGATCAACTAATCAAATCTACGTTAAATTTAAACTAAGCAAAGAAGCAAAAACTAAAAAAAAACGAACTTATTTTTTATAAATGTGCCATGACCCGTAGATTTACAGCTAACAGCAGTACAATCATTAAACTGCTGCGGTTGTGCTGTTCTATCGCACCTGCTCTTATTCATCTGATCTTGAGCCAATCGATTATTATCTGTGTCGATTGCTACAAAATGCTTTCCCGGTGCAAACTTTATGTAAGTAAAACCAGTTTCAAGAGTTCATCGAAAAACTTTCCGCATAAAAACCTTGTAGAATTTTATTTAAACAGTATCGAAAATTTTCTTGATAGCATTGGAGAACACGTATTTTATTGAATAGTACCTGACGGTTGATTCTAGCTAAATTGGATGCGCTGAATATGAATTTCAATTCGGTTTGGTTTTATTGGTTCTTGATTCTTTTCAACGACATTTGTACCATTTTCCGGATTTTTCAAATTAGGACTAAAAAATTAAGTCTCTTGTTAAAATCATTTTCAAGTTTCCTGAAAGAAGCAGTTTAAACTGCAGTAAAATTACATTACAACGATAGAAATGCCTTTAAATAAATAAAAAAATTAAACGAACAGGTATG